TAATAATGAAAGTACTACATACTTTTACTAAGTCTTTCATATCGTTTCCTCAAACACATTATTGGCAAAGGCAACAATTCTATAACTAACTCTTTGTGTAAAATATTTACAGGCAACTTGCAGAGCACAGCCCCTGCCAAGATCATCAGTCATGTTACAGAATACATAAAGATATTATCTGAATTATCAACTGTAAGAATACAGTATTGTATAAAAGCTTAAGATTTGATCCCTACTTAGTCACACTGAGAATATACTTAGTGAAATCAGTGAGACGTAGACTGGTCATGACTAGCAAATCTCAGTAATTTTAATAGCTCTATTTGCAAAAATTATGGGATTTGAAAGTTAATCAGCTAGAAACCACAAATTTTAGGGATGCCTGATCTCCTGCCAGAAATGTTACAGACAGTCTTTAGAAGCTGGGCATGATTATCATGAATTACCTCCCATTCTTCAGGATTATTTTCAGAAGAGAACTTTCTCACTGGCAAGACTTCTGTCCATTTGCTTTAATGTACAGGTAGTCCTCGACTTTATGGCTATAATTGAGCACAAAATTTCTACTGCTAAGTGAGACATTTGCTAAGTGAGGTTTGCACCATTTTACAAGCTTTCTTGCCACAGTTGTTAAGTCAATCACTGCGGTAATTAAGTTAGTAACATGATTGCTAAGCGAACGTGGTTTCCCTATTGATTTGCTTCTCAAAAGGTTGCAAAAGGTGATTACGTGATCCTGAGACATTGCTGCAACCGTCATAAATATGAGTCAGTTGCCAAGCATTTGAATTTTGATCATGTGACCATGGAGATGCTGCAACAGTTAAGTGTGAAAACTGGTCATTGGTATAAGTTTATTTTATTCAGTATCGTAACTAAACAGTTGCTAAACGAACTGTTGTCAGTCAAGGACTACTTGTACTGTACTATGTTCTAGAATAGATCAGAGGTCTCCAAACTTGGCAACAACAGTATAGCTGGCAGGAGAATTCTGTGAGTAGAAGTCCACAGGTCTTAAAGTTGCCAAGTTTGGGGACCCCTGTTCTAGATTTACAAGCAGATGGCAGCACATACTAATATGCAGACAGCTCTGATTCATAAAGTTGCCGCAGGGTAAAGCATGCATAACATCAGTTACAATCAAAGTTGCTACACCTTGCTTTCACTGATAGTCTGCTGAGCTTAATTACACCAAAAAGAAAAAGTTAAGTTTTGAATGCCTTCACTGACATTTTTACAAAATGTATCCAAGTATCACATACTAAACTAAAATTCGCCTCCCTCCCCACAACCAGCACTACCATTTCTAAGCAATTTAAAGTCCTGAAGCATCAAAAACTGGTCTCATTGGTATTGCTGGCACCTTTAGTAGTTGTTCCAACTGCTGCAGGAAAGCTGAATCTTTAGGGAAATGGTCTTTGCTAGGGATAGCAACTGGGAAGAAGACTAAGTCAACTGAGAAGAACAGGGAGCTACAAGTAGTCCTCAACGTATGACCACAACTGAGCACAAAATTTCGCTTGCTAAGAGAGACAACTGTTAAGTGAATTTTGCCCCATTTTATGACCTTTCTTGTCACCTTTAAGTGAATCACTGCAGTTATTAAGTTAGTAACACGGCTAAGTGAATATGGTTTTCCCATTGACATAGTTTGTTAGAAGGTCGCAAAAGGTGATCATATGACCCCAGGGCACAGCAACCATCATAAATATGAACCAGTTGCCATGCATTTGAATTTTGATTACATGACTCTGGAAAAGCTGCAACAGTCATAAGTGTGAAAAATGGTCATAAGTTATTGTTTTCATTGCTGTTGTAACTTTGAACAGTAGCTAAATGATCTGTTGTACACCAAGGACTACATACATACATACACACACACACATATATGGTCCTGGAGAAAACTAGAAAAAAACAATTTCCATCACGTTTTTCACTTTTTACAGATTTGTACATTTCTAGCCTTCATACAATTACAGTATAGATATTTGCAATTATAGTAATCAAATATTTGCAATTTGGGCAAATCTGATAAAAAATTATTCACATTTTCTACTAAGATAATTGGCTTAAAACTAGCAAAATGACAAATGAACAGAACTATGGATGTGTTCAAGATACAAGTAGCAGGTATATAATTCCTACATTTATTAAGACATGCTATTCCTACATTTATTCCTACATTTATTAAGACATGCTATTTGAAAATGCAATTCTAAACATGCTTACTCAAAATCAAACTTCACTTAGTTCAGTAGCACTAAAATCCAAACATATGCTTATAAAATTGTAGTGTAAAGTTGTAATAGTAAGGTTCTTAGTTTGGGATTAAACCTCCTGTATTACTTTGTGAATATATAAACTTTAAAATCTGTATCTCAAAAGTACATAAATGCAAAAATTGTGAATTTGGTTAATTCTCAGCCACTAGGTCATTAGTAAAGTATACTAAAATATGTAATTCAGCATTATTTGGCAGGTGTACTTATGCGAGGAATACATTACAATTTCAGAATAGTGTAAAGCAATCTGAACATTAAAATAGGTGGATTAAATTGGGATAATGTAATGCCAAATTATTTAGCACTCTTTTAAAAAACATTTTTACCAATTCCAGAAGTTTACAATTTATTTTAGCAGACACTTCACATCCTTATTTTCATCATTACCATCAAGAATTTTTAGCAAACCTCTAAGATTTTTAGCACTAATATCACTTTGTGTAAAAGAATTATACAGATCAAATTAAAGCCACATTACTGTACTTTATGAGATTTTCAATTTCCTGACTAGATTCAAGTTTTCTAAGATAGAAAGCAATCAAATAAGTTCATTTAGATATATATTCTCCATTGTTTATTGTTCTCTCTCAGAAGGTTTGGAGATCTATAGATGATAAAAAAGCCAAAACTTTGCATTGACTGGTAGAAGAAGGCAGCGCATGGGATGAAGAGAATTTGGGTTGAAATATTAGACATATTAAGGTTTTGAAAATGTTTATACTTGTCTTGTTGAAGGGAAAGTTATTTCTTTCTATATTTTTTTCTTTTATTTATTTTATATATTTCTCCTCTTTATGCAATTTCTATTTTTTCTTGTTTATATTTTCCTAGTTTTTATTTATAACTTTAAATTTTAATACGATTATTATAAAAATGTATTCACAATCAAGTACAGACTATAGTAAGTATATCCTCTGGCACACATCTAGTGGCATCCTGGGTCACACCTTCTGCATTAGCAAATTCTGCTTTGTATTTCAAAATTACCCAACCTTAACAGCAAAAAGACAAACTCTTGCCTCAGGTAGTTTATAGACTTAAGAGCCAAGCTAGATGTTCAGAGATCTCATATGGTACAGTAAGAGACTATATCGTCTTAGAATTATTATTTATTTGAATGCTATATCCTACCCTCTAGTAAAACTTTGTATCACGGAGGATGAAGACTAGCTAGGACTCTTTTGTCCTGACTTTTTAATGTGCTAGGAGTGTTATTTGCGTTGCATGTAGTTATTCAGCTAAACTGTAAAGCACTTGCCATAAAAGAGCTATTGACGTCTATTTGATAACAAGAAAAAGAGATATGTTCAGTAATATGTAAGTATATGAATAATCTCTAACTAAAATGACATTGCTCCATTCTATATTAGAAAGTAAAATTTCAGTGTTCAAAGTCCCCTCCAATTATTTTTTTTAAGAATTCAAAACAACAGCATTTTCCCACAAGGAAGATTCTTATAATTAATTTCAAAATCTTATTTCAAATCCACCTGGATTCTTAATTTGTTTATATCATGTCTGCCTGATATTTTCAAAAAGCACTCTGATACCCTATCACACCAAAGGACTGTTAAGAAGGGGAAAATAAAATATATAAGGCATCATTCTGAACTCAAAAAAAAAGAAAGCCAATGTAACAAATCTAGATAAAACTATCCTGATTGTAGCTTGCTTCTTTTTTGAATGGACTTATACAAAATGTTCACTATTTGCTGCCTGGGAAGTAGAACAAATTATGATGCATTACTCAATAAGTCTACACATTCTATACATTGGTACAGCCAAGGCTGCTAATCTAGAAGATTACTGATTATAGGCAAGCATTCTTCGCTCTTTGAGAACGGTTTTGGATTTTTCCTGTTTTAATATATTTAATTCACTGAGAGAGAACAAATGCAAAGTTATTTTAGCTTAGCCACAAGTAGCATTTTGGAGCATGAGTTTCTAGCCTTGCAGAACACCTTCACAAAAGAAAAGGTTCTGCTACTGAAACTTGGTTGTTTTACATTTCCATCCACCCTTGAGAAACACAAAAAGCAAACTGAACAGCCATTTCGGTACGCAGTGTAATATAAGAGGGGAGGGGAGGAAAAAGGCAATACGCTATATGCAGTATTGGTAAAATGGGACTGCATTAGAGGCTTATATTAAAACATTCTTTTCAGGAGACATGAAAAATGGTATTAAAAGGGAAGGAGGGGAGAGAACCAGGATAGAAACTGGGAAGTGAGGGAAACCACTCCTGATTAGATTTGAGCACGTGGATGTCGAAGTAAAAAGGGCAAGAATTATATTGGGATATGATTATATCAATGAATGGAATCCAAGCCTCACACAACATTAAAGAGGTTATGGGCAGCGACAGGGACAAAAGCGAAGGGTGGGCAGCAACGTGATTCTGCCCGTCTTTGCCCGCCTGGGATCCAAGAGGCTTATAAAGCTGGGAAGAAAGATGCACGGGGAGGCTGCAGTTTCAAACAAGAAGGACTGGGAGAGAGCAAGACCAGTCCTGTTGCAAAAGTTTCTAGGGCACGAAAGGCGATGCCACCTCCCGGGGTTATCCGAGGATGCTTCCCTAGAGGAGTCCAAAGAGAGCCATCCTCGGGGAAGGGGCACTCACGGAGCTTCCCCTAAGGACAGAACCCGGCTTATTCCACCCCATCATCCGCTCCGCCCCCGGCGGATCTGCCGACCCGGCGAGACGCGCGGCTCCCTCACCATCAGCACTTTGGCCGCGCTCTCCAGCTGAGCGATCACCTCGGAGGCTCCCCCCGCCGCCGCGGCCGCCGCCATCATGGTCTCTGTTCAATGACGCGCCATGCAATGCATTCTGGGACGAGGCGGCCCACCAGCCAATCCGCGATCCCGGAGGGTCAGAAGGGTCGGGAGGGAGCTCTGGAGTGGGGAGGTCGTGCCGGCCCCGCAGAGCCGTCGTGAGGTGCTCCCCGCCGGCTGCGGGGGTGGCGGAAGCAGCAAATCGTCCTCCTGAAATGGCTTCGCGGCGGGAAAATGGCGAGAGAGCAGTTCCGTCAGGTCCGGGAGGAGAAGGGGGGATGCGGGCATGTGGCCCGACCCTTTCCTATCCCCTCGCAGTCCTGAAGCCAATGGGGGCTGAAGAGATGACGGCTTGGAAGCCTAAACGCCCCCTCGACGAGAAGACCAACATCCACCAGGTCCTAATTACTCAAGTTTTAAGCTCTTTGCCAGCCAAACTGAGAGAAACGCCGGTGGATCTGGGACTGATTCTTTCCATTCTCAGTTCCAAATAACTCCAATCCATTCCCAGCCATAAAGGATTCGAGGGAGGATCATTCAGGTCAAAGGATTTGTTCTCCAAGCAAGTTGGAAGCTAATCTATCTACGGGATTTGTGGCATTTGGGTTTTGTTTTTTGTTTTAAAAAGGGTAGATTCTCCCAAGAAACACAACGCATACCTAAGCCAATACTTGTTACTCCTTCCCAGTTCCTTATTTGTAGAAATTTTGAGAGACATCAGAAAAGTGATTGAACTTTACATAATATATAATGGAATTTATATAATTATGTGTCTAAAATTAAGCATGGAACCAACCATATGTATCTCCATTATGATGGCCTTCTGTTCTGTTAAATAATTCAGTACAGTAAAAATTGTGCAAGAACATGTAATGCATGATAATATCACATAATCAGCTTAAATGTTGCAATTCAGTGTGGAGTTCCTTAGAGTATATCTTGCTTGTCTATCAAATATATTTCATCTGGTACTTTTCAGTACTTCAATAGCACGATCCTGAAACATCAAGGCAATATTGAAAACAAAATGAAACAAGTACTGTAAGTAAATATCAATCCTTTCTTAGCTGGCAAGGCATATATTAGAATAAATTATTTCCCAAGACACAAAGGCTCAGGTAAGCAGAGTTACTTAAAACCACAATGCTATTATGAAAGAATTCATATCACTGCTGTGTATCAGATGTTAGCTGTATTTATAGTATGCTCATTGTTTAATTTCTTCTGTCCTTTTCTATAAATTAATCTCTTTGGGATAGAGATATGGTATCCATCTATTCCTTGTTTTAATAACAAATGATTTAGTACAATATGAGGTTTATTTTTTACTATGTGAAGACTAACTTTCTAATCTGTGCACTTCAGAATATCTTTTGACCATTCAACTCATTCATCTGCATAATGACTAGCATATTCTGAATATGATCTCATCTAGACCAAAGATCTAAGCATTAGAGTGCAGTTGCAGCATTCTTGATTCATTATGATTAAATTATGTAAACAGTATTGGTTTTTCTTTCAGGAGCTTTCAACTCAAGTCCATCTTCGTCCATCTTCATTCATCTTCACTTCTTTCATTCTCAAAATGCTCAAAATTCTGCAGAATACTGAGTCACCCAGTACCCACTTTTAGTTGACCAATAGGGGAATGCAAAAAAGTCATTGTAATATTTCCCTTGTCACCTACCTCCCAGATTCCCTCTTAATATTTTCAATTCATTTTGCAACCATTTACTTTTCCCACTGCTTTTCATCATGGCTGCACATTGTGACTGGAGTGGAAAAGAAGAGATATACAAGTTAAATACTTACACATGGTATTAGGGCCAGAACCACCACAAGCTTCAGCAATGCAAAAGGAGAAAAGAGTTTTGCTGCAATCTCAGATAAGCCAGTAAAGAGCTATGAAAAAAAAGATTGTATCTATTAGATATTACCAATAATGTCATGGAAGAGCAGAGGCTCAGAGCTGATCCTGAGCCAGTTCAAAGAATCAGTTGGAAATCACTCTTCTTTGGGTGGGGAGGATTACAGTTCCTGACCCAGTTCCTATGTTACACCTATATTAAAATATTTGGTTGGTTTGGTCTTAATGTTCTTTCTGAACTTGCTCTGTCTTCTAGATCATATACACAATAAAATATGTTGTGCATTGATATCAGACCCTGAGGTTTCTTTCTCTTATCTGTGTCCATTCTTTTTTATCTTTCAATTCTATCAGTTTCCAGTTTCTTACATCACTTCCAACTTTGTTTGCTAAGAAACAGTCTTCCTACATGGCATAAAATTAAATATAAAGAAGAGCAAACTAATGCCAGTGGATATAGCAACCATCCTTAGAATTCATATCAAAGTGGTAGACAGCGGTAGAGGGCTTCTGCCTTTTAGGATCAACCATCACTAATAAAGCAACAAGCAGTCGACATAACCACAGAATAGCACTTGGGAGAGCAACTGTGAAGATCTTGGGAGAAGATATTCAGATGTTCTGATGTGTCTATACCTCCAAAATCAGAATTGTACAAGCAATTCTCTATCAGAGACAATATAAGAAGCAAAAGCTGGACTTTGAAGAAGCAGGGTAGAAAGAACTTTGAACTTTTGAACTGCGGTGTTGAAAAAGATTCAGATTTCTTTTATCTGGCCATAATCTTAGTTGAGATTCTTCCTCTTCTTCAAGGTTGTTGCTTCTCCCTTTTTAATATAATGATTACAGCTGCAAATAACTTTTATCTGTAAGGAAGTCATAAAAACCTGTGTAGGATCCAGGAGCTTTCTTGAAAATGAAAATGAAATGTTAGAAGCTAGTATTTTGTTTCATAGCACGACAAATTTTCATTTTGAAAATTAGTTTATTTTCTACATGAATCAGGTGTGCAGAAACCATGGTACGTGCCAAGGATAGACATAGAGACATAGATGGTGTATAATTTGATCATTAATTAATAAACCATAATTGAATATAGATATGGCATAAACCAGAGTGACTGGATTCACATATCACAGTTATTCAAAACTAAATACACAAAGTAGTATACTATTTAAGAAAATAATATAAAAACTATAATTTCACAAATTATTTCATAAATAACTATTAACAGCAGTATCCCCAGACAAAGTGTTCTCCTTGCGTGTACATCATGATTCTAATCTGGAAGGATTGTGCCTCAGCACTTTAAATAACCAGTCTTATAAAGCTAAATTATTCTACTGAAATTGTACTTGTCCATAGGGCAGATATTTTATTATTTAGATAAAAGTTCATGTTTCATTAGTTCTTCATTTACTAGAAGATTATTAGGAGTTACAGAGAAAAACTCCAATTGGCTTATTTGCAAATGTAAATGAGAGTGACATAGATATTAGATAGTGATGGCTAATCTTTTTGAGCTCCTGTGTCAAAAATTGCGAGTGCGCCAGGACTCCTGTACTCGTGTGCCAGCACCCAGAATGCAATGTGTGCCCCCCTCCCCATGGCCCTTGCGCATGCGCGCGCAATCCCCACCCCCATCCCCTTACCTACATTGCACCTCACAGCTGATTTTTTGCTGGTTTGAGGCCTTTTGGGGCCTCCCAGAGGCTTGGAAAAAGCCTCTGCAAGGCTTTTCAGACCGAATTATAGGCCGATTTCGTCACTTCCGCTATTAAAGAAGTGACAAAATGGGCCTATAATTTGGCCTGAGAAGCCTTGCAGAGGCTTTTTCCAAGCCTCTGGGAGGCCCAAAAAGGCCTCAAACCAACCTGGAAAAAAATCAGCTGTGAGGCGTGGGCATGCGCAGTGAGGTAAGTTTGCCTGCGGCTCACATGCCAGCACAAATGGCTCTGTCATCATGGATATAAGAAATGTAATTTAGTAAAAACAAATGCAAACCAAAGTACTGTGCTGCTTAAAAAAACTTACTATATGCTGATGGGATCTATGTTGATAAAATTAATTTGAAAAAAAGAATTTGGAGAGTTTAGTAACTAGAATTTAGTGAAGAGCTCAGTAATAACCAAATATGAAGAAGTTGTGAAAAAAATTGTAATTTTATGTTATGATCAGTAGAAAGCAGTTGTGAACCCCACCTCATCACTGTAAAGTGTTACGGTAATGACATTTCATCAGATTATTATAATATTATATAGCACTTAAAATTGACTGAACAATTTTTAATGAAGAACAAGGCTTAATGTTTTAAATTTTATTTAATTTTCTCCCACCTTTATTATTTTTATAAATAACTCAAGATGGCGAACATACCTAATATACCTTCCTCTTATTTTCAGCACAACAATAATACTGCAAGGTTGGTTCGGTTGAGAGAGAGTGACTCACTCAAGGTCACTCCATTGGCTTTTATACCCAAGGTAGGACCCTCAGTATCCCATCCTGGTGCTAGAACACTGACTCTAAATTCAATTAAATTTTTTATATAAATATTATAAAAAAATTTGAGCCATAACATAGCTTTCCCCTATCTGGTTCACAGCAGATGTGTGGAACTTCAGCTCCCATAATCCTTAGCTGGCATGCTTTGCTGGCTATGGATTAAAGGAATTATCCAACATTCCTGGAAGACACCAAATTGAGAAACATTGATACAGTACAGACAGTACTCTTCTTACAAATGGGCCATGTTCTGAGAGTTCGTAAGTCCGCAAGTCCAACAAGCATAAAAAACATGCACAATAGAGTTCTTATCTTACAGTGTACACATAGATCTGTGAACAGTATACAAGAGGAAGGCAGGAAAAGGTTAGTTTCTGTGCCACTTACATAAGTGGCATGCAGGAAACATATTTTTCTGCTTTCTTCCACTCCTAGAACCTTTTTGGTTGGAGTTGCAGACAGGCTTGTTCGTATCAACGAAAGTTCATAACTCAAAAGTTCATAAACTGAGTAATGTCTGTATAGGACTTTAAAACATGTTTTCCTTACCACTAGGGGGCCCTTTGTAACCATAATAGGTATAATGTATATCTCATTTTGTCATAGATCTCATCCATAGTTCCTAACACAAATTAATTAGCCTTCTAAATCTCCAAATGTAACAAAATCATCAAATACTGTGTCCAGAGTAAAGGAAAGCATCATTGCTTCAATGTTTAATGCCCACGGGGATTTGGTTTTGTGGAAAGTGGAAAGTTTAAGTCACAAATGGACTGATTATAAAACTCAGTGCATTCTGGTTTGGATGTATACATGTTTCCATTAATTCTGCAGGAATTCAAATCACACAATTTAACATAATTTCCACTCCCTTGCTTCCCTTGAAGACTTATGTTTTTTGCTCCTTAAGGTACAGTATGGGCACTACTCTGGTAA